GAATATGGTGGACACTGCCTTGAGAACAAGAACGATCATTTCTTGTGAGCATGGAATTTGTATAACCCCGTGGTCACTCATATGAGTCCATTTAATGTAAGTCATATTTCACTCTATGGTTGGACATACAATGACAATGTAATCGAAAACTCTATTGTACTCTGTTTCTAACATATTAAGTAGGAACTGAGTTTTGCCACTTCCAGTCATTCCTACTATGAGCATGTTGAATGGGGGCTTAAGTTGTTACATCTCTATGCTTTACCATTAGTATTGAATACTTGATAGATCTCTATTGGCAAAGTTAAGGAGAGCATCTGATACAACAAAAATGTTGCATTGAACGTCAGCTGTTGTGGCTCTCTTTTTGATTTCCAGGAGTACTCCCGATTGTGTGTTAACTATCTTCTTACCTCCACCAGTGGTATCATCTTGTGTTGACCTAAGATCGATTACCAGAGCGAAACCGTTGCTGAAGAACTTACTGATGGACATAAATTCATCTGCCATGGATTTCTCACACATAGGGCAGAAGAATCGTTTTGCCTCTTCGAAGAACCCGTTTTTGGGAAGTCCTTGGGAGACAACTGCATTAGGCACACCTTCAATGGTAAGGTTCACTTTATCAATGTTTGGGTAAATATATTCAGTTCTCACTGTATTGGTAAATAGAAGGACAATTACTGACATGCTCTTTCTGGGGATATTGATATTCTCATTGACAATGGTAAGATCCTTGTCCCAGTTACTTGTACGCATAAGAGTGACGTGTTTGTAGGACAGTGAGCGACCCGTTGAATACATCCTTGATACTTCACTCGCAAGGGTGTCATTCTCAATGGTCTCGTATTCTAACTCAAGATTATCAAGTTTATAATTACCCTTAGCTTCACCTCCTTGAGCAGTCATAATTTCATCTGCTTGGGGGAGTGTGAGGATGTACATAGGATTGTTATTCACGGAGAACGGTGTGTAGAGTCCATGGTCTGCAATTATTTTATCAATTGGTTTTCTCAGCTTAGAACCGTACACACTGTGGAGAAGTCCATCTGCTACTTTACCAACATCACCTACCTTTACACCTCAGTCGTCGCCCGATATCAGCTTCCTAAGATTCTCACTTGCAAGAGCCTGTTCAGTCATCTTCTTTCTGTCACCTAGTGTTAGCCATAGATCTTTGTATATTTCGTACAAACTCTCTCCTGAACAGTCATAAGCTGTTTCACCGGCTACTTTAATCTGAAGACGCTTAGCTATCAACTTAGCCAGGTTGTTATTAAAGCGATTCTTTGTATTGGATTTATTGAAGTCAAATAATAGTGCAAGCGATCCGGGGACTAAACAAGAGTCAGGCTTTAGTTTAGGGATGTTTATGTACAGCTCTTCACCTGGGCCAATAGTTGTTGGATTAAAAGTTACAACACTTCTAGTTCTAGTTCTTTTTACAGTCGTCATACGGCTCCTCCTGAAGCCAGGTTGGAGTTCTCTTTCTGTGGTATTCATGTTTGTATACAATATGTAATGTTTAGCTTAGTTTGTATATCAGGAATATCACACCTATGGCCCCTGCTATAATATTCCATATATTATCACCTACTGCTTCCAGCCCATCTGCTAACTTGAGGAATACAGGTGGTAGTTTCATCTGATTTTTTACCATATCATTTAGCTTCTCATTTATCTTTTTTGATTCATCACCTAACTTCCACGCCATACTTCTAGTTGTAACTACAAGTCCTACTATCACGGCGGCTGATGAAATAAATACAGCAGATAATACACCTGCATTCTCCCTTGCCCATATTTTGAACAACTCCAATTTCCTATTATCGTTACGCTTTACTAGCCCTCTCTTTTTCACCTTATCTCTTAAGTTGAGAAGTTTATTTAAGTTTGACTTTCTCTGGAATTCATTTGACAGCATTCTGATGTATCTCAGTTCTTCAGACTTTTCTTTGAAATCTTCTTCGTCCAACCCAGCTAGTATCATATCATTTAACAGTCTATCTCCCCTATCCATGAGATCGTCATATGGTAACTCAGATAGCTCAGGATACTTTGCTGCTAGCTGTTCCCCTGTCAAGTCCCCTTCACCAGCTTCTTCCTGCACTTTCCTTCTTCTCAGCTCCTGGACATATGCGATTTCATTTCCTATATCTATTTCTTCCTCATTGGTTCCACTTTCTCTTAGATCCTTATCGAAAAACGGTAGTTCTTCATCCAGTTGTCCAACATCCATTTCACCATAGTGAGGATACTTTTCCGCCAGCTCCTCCATCTTGACGTCATCGTATTCACTTTCTATTTCCTCCATAATTACTTTACTTGGTGTTATAATCGTATATATTTAGAGCTATGGCAACAACAACTACCCATAAGTGTGACGCTAACCATGCTACACCTGTAGCACCGTATTTGAGAGCTGACGCAAGGACATTTAGAAATGGAGCCAGAAGTGGCCCTGCTTTCTTCGCTAAATTTGCTAATGCTTTTGCAAGCTTACTTGTGGTATTCGCTGTCTTCACAATAGCTCCCCTAGCATGGACAAGAAGAGTTGTTATTAGACCTGCTGTTGATATTGCTATTTCAGTTAGACCCACCTTCTCCTCCCCTAACCATTTCACAAACTTGCGTAATCTGGAAATATCTTCCAACTGCGCCTCCCTGGTTTCCTCTAATACTCTCTGTTTTAGGGTTCGATCTCTAGCTTCCTTTAGACTGTCAATTCTTTCTAGAAGAGCATTGTACTCAGTTGTACCTTCCGCTGAGGTGGCTTGCTCTACAGTTCGAATTCTGCCAATAGCTTCGTCAAAGTAATCCGCTTGTACTTGCAATGCTCCATTTGGACCTGTTCTGCCTTCCAAGCTTGATCCCTCAGGTGGGTTAAGTACTCCTCTTAATTCATTGTTTTCTTGCATTGTTAGCCCTGGAAGATCTCCTAGTTGTGCACCTGTGTCTGTTAACTCAATGTTCTCGCGATTAGCGTATTCCTCATCACTGTCGTCAAATTGTGGCTCTTCCTTGGTGTCCTCGTAAACCGATTCTTCACTTGTAATTCTAGCGTCAGGATCCGTAGGGGTCTGCTTGATTTTCTTTATAAGTTCCTTATATTCTCTCAGAGCAGGTGAGTTCTTTGAGTACACTAGAGTCTTGGTCTTACCACGTTTCATTATTTGTGTCCCACTTTTTTCAATACCTTGTTCACTCCTAAACATTAGCACCTCTGTGCCATCATTGAGTGTTCTTACAGCTGATCGGTCTATAAGTTCCCTGACATATATATTCTTAGGATCCATTATCAGTCCTTCCTTACCCTTGATAACTCTTTTGACAGCTTGAACACGTTCTACTTGGTTTTTATAGTCCCTCTTCATACTTGCTGTGAGTCGGCCGTCTGAGAACTTTTTCAGTTTCTCTAGGCGGGCTTTTATTTCGTCCCAGTCAGCGTCAAATGATTTATCAAATGCATCTAGCACATCCGGAAGTAAATTGTGTGGATCTTCCACAAAGTCGACTCCTGGGACGGTTGTGCTTCCTGATGGTCCTGAAATGTTCACTGTACCATCATTTCCTTCGGTGAAAGTTGTTTCTTCTATTGCATGTTTCTCCATGAGATTCTTCACATAGTCTAGTTCACTTTTAAGATCAGTTATTACTAAAGGGTCATCACCATACATAGCCTCTCCCTTCACCTTTGTATCTAACCTACTAAAAGCTGTCGTTAGGTCATCATAATTGAGGTCGTCATATTGAGGATACGTCTTTTTTGTCTCCTCCAACTCAATGTCATCGTAGTCCTTGAAGTCCTCCATAATACTTTAACTTATGTTAGGGACTTAATGTCTCCAGCTGGTATCCAACTGTTAAATTTGTCATCATAACCTAACCACTTAACTAGGGCCATCTTTTTACCCTTCAATGTTCTTCTCCTTAATACTTTCTCTATTCTGAAATCAGGTTCTCTTCCTTCAGCGCTATACAGTTCTTGTTCATAGAATCTGCCAATTATTGGTTCATCAGCACTGTCTTTTATTGTATACGTGTTTGGATGGCCGTGATACACTTCCGTCACAGTGAACAACTCCTCTGTGAAATTTGCTTCGTACCCTTTTGTGAACACTGATTTGTACTTTGAGATCCTAACACTTTCTCCTACAGCAAACTTTGGTTTTGACGGCTTGCCTAAATTGTGACTAAAAAGTGTCTGCCATACTTCAGTCCAGTTGGACTCATTTACACTGTCCGGTGTTGTTTTAATTGATCTGTTCACTGAACTGTTGTAATTATCAGTTAAGTCTTGAAGGACGTCTAACCATTTATATGCACTGGCACTGTAAAAGTACTTCCACATTAGTGCTTTCAGTGTTCTGTTAAATCTTTCCACAACTGCGGCCTTTTTATCTGAGTAAGTAGAGAAAAATTCAATGTTATGTTTATTAAGCAATGACTTTACATCTTTGTTATAGAACTCTGTGCCTTGATCAAACTGGGCGAATTTTGGGTATTTACCAAAACGATTATTAAATTGCTCTAAAATGTTACTGACGGCGTCCTTCATTGATGTCGCGTTTTTCCTATACACTGGTACTGTGAACGCGTACCTACTCAGTATTTCGATTGATGTGAGAATCCATCGGTATCCCTTGTTCTTGTCGTCATATTTTGTCATGTCAACTAAATCCATTTGTAACTGTTCACCTAAAGTTTGGACGTACGTCTGTCTGAACTTATGTTTCCTAAACACTTGTCTGTACCTTGTGTATGTGTCTTGCTCGTTTATCCATTTCTTGACCTGACTTCTGGTTACTTCAAGTCCGTCTGATACTGCTCTAAGATATAGTTTCTCTGGTGTCTGGAATCCAGTCTTAGGATTGTAGTAAATATCTCGTAGTCCCTGTTCTTTCATAATATCGTCGTCCATCTTATATTAACCAATGTAAGCTCGCTACTCAAGGTACATCTCAAGTAGCACTTCACCTATATCAATAGGTTTCCCGTCTTGATCTGTCATGTGGAATACAAGTTCTGAGAAAGAACCCTTAACAATCGAAGTCCTGCTTTCAACATCAATGTAACTAACTACTGAGCCTAATAATGGTCTGTCAGTTGGAATTGTAATAGTTGTTATTACATCGCTGGGTCTTCCCCAAGGATTAACGTTGTAACTGCTACTTACTAGATTACAGTGTATATTTACACCTCGTAGCCCGTTATTAAAGTCAACTTTGCTATCACTTGTCAAACTTCTCCCTTTCAGCAGGATCATAGGATTAAAAAATCTACTAAAACCTAACATAGTCAGTAATCGTGTTTCTATTGTGATATCTTGTTTTACTGCCTCTATTTGACATCCTGCTGTTTCAGCAAAGTAGGTTAGCTTAACACCGTGTCTTTCAAGTAACTTCTTCATACTGTCAAATGTGTAGTAACCTTTATTAACAATCACATCAGATTCTCCATCATCTGTTTTCACTTTGAGAATAGTTGTTGGTTCCCTTATGTTAAAGTACTCCCAGAAAACTGATACTCTCTTCACAAAGACTGATTTATAGTTGCTTGTTAGAACTGAGTTCTGTAGTGATACAACTGTATGCGAACTCTGGAGTAAAATTGTGAACTTCATCTTAATAACATACGTTAGGTTATTAAGAATGAGACTAGGTGGAGGACAAGTTGGCAAGTCGCCGTATCGGTCGTATCAGGACTATGAAAAAAAGTATGGAAACGAAGACGATGAAGATCATGTTGATCCTGTTGCTGGTAAAAATGCAGAGAATGCTGAGAGGGCTAGATTTATTAAAAAGTACCCTCACGCTGACATGAATAGGTTTAAATTTGAAGCAAAGGCTACCAGTAGTGGTGATATAGGAGTTATCACTTGGTTTGTTGATTTAGATGGTATATCTTCATATGATATTAGATATGACGGTTTCAAGAAGGATAAGGAGTTTACATCTTATCTCACAGGTACTAAGAAAATTATTACTCCCGCACAGTTTATACCTATGACTGACATGAAACAGCCTCCCATTGAGAAAGTACCTAAGGTGACAACACCTTCTCCTAAAATTCCCCTGAAACCAAAAGAATGGCCACATCTTTGGAATAGTAATGGCACCGTTCAAAAATACGGACCTCTTGTTTTTCCAGGGAATCCTACTTATGATAAAAGAAAGTTAGGGCCTAGTAGGGTTCTAATTCATGATGACGACTATCATATTAACACGTATCGACCTCCTGTAAGCCTTCCATACAACTTTAACAACTTTAAGATCTATGTAAATGAAAACAGTTACTTCATGTCTAACTTCCCCGATGCTGGTGTAGGTTGGTATGAAGGTCCTAACTTAATGAATAAGGATGTAAGAAAAGTTCCCTTTAATACGATACCATACACTAGAATGTTGTCTGGCGCTTATATAGCTAGCTATCTCAGTGGTGTATCCCTGGAACACGTTCGTGAAAGTAATTCCGTTCCAAAAATAATAACATCCATTATGAGGTATCATCTTTACTACACAACTAGAAAGCTAACAGTTAGTAAGGATGCTATTGATAGACTTGGTGTCAACCTTGACATTGTAAGAAAACACATTCCAATAAATCAGAATTATATTATTGACGGAAGTGGTGCTACAACTACTGCAGGACCATTGTCTGGTAGCGATTACCTTTCATTCATAGTTGAAAAAAGTAATGGCTTTACTAAGTTAGGCGTTGAGCTTATTCAGGAAAGCATTGAGTCCTATGTTTATGCTATGCTGGGATCTCAAGCTAATACAAGGTGGTCAATAGAAGGAAGCGGTCCGAAGGCTCTTCAAACGCAACGTAACTTTAGAACTATTGTAAAGTCTACTATTTTACAAAGTAATACGGTAACAACAATTAGTAATATGAGGAAAGCTGTGAGGGACACCAATGTAATCCTGAACACTGCTTTATCCCCTGGAATAGTTTTAATCCCGTCTAGCTTTATTATTCTGAAAACTCCGATACTCGGTTATAATAACCTTCTAAAGACGGCAACTAATGCAATGAAATTTGGGTTTAATCCTAAGGTAAATTATGTTGGTGTTAAGCATGTTGATCCTCCAAAGAAACAGCATCAAAATAGCACACCAGTTCACCACCTTGATACTCTTAGTGGAAACGTGAAAGCTCCTGTAAGCCCTGTAAATACTACACCTCAGGTTGTTCCTATCACGAGGCGTAAGGTGGTCAGTACACGTGAGTCCCTAGGTGACGGCGCTTTAGCTGGACTTGGTATTGGGTCTGTCGCTGTGTTTCTTATATTGCGAACTGTTCTGTGAAACATTACGTATGTTATAAAAAATGGCTCTCTACCGGAGATATAATAAAGAACTAAATAAAGTTGACCCATCAAGTGGTAGTGTGTTTGATAAGGACGGATTTACCATGAAGGGTGATATTGAAATGGACGGAAATGAAGTGAAAGGTCTAGGTGCACCAACAGATGATACATCTGCGGTCACAAAGAAGTGGGTGGATGATGAGATCGTTAAACAGGCTTCTATTACAATTCAACCGGCAGGGTTTACTATGACTGGGAATATTGACATGGGAGGTAATAAGATAACTAATCTTGACAATCCTACTAATCCAGGTGACGCTGCTAGTAAGAGTTGGGTTGAAGGTAGTCGCAGACATGTACATGCTAGTCTACCCGGTCTTATCCTTACAAATGATCTCAATATGTCAACCAATGAAATAAAGGCTCTGGGTGATCCTACAACTGGAAAATCTGCTGTTAGTAAGGATTGGGTAGTTGGAATGTTAAATAGACCTGTAACTGGACTTGATATTGCTGGTGATATTGACATGAAGAACCATGAGATTAAGAATCTTAAGGACCCTTCTGAGGATAAGTCCGCCGTTAGCAGGGAATGGTTTAGTACAAACACTAGCAACTTTCTTAAGCTGTCTGGGGGTAATAATCAGTTTGTTCGGGGTGAAGTTCTGTTTGATAAAACACCACATACAAGCGAAGAGGCCTCCACTTCAAGTGGTCTTGTAAATAAACATCTCATGGATAAAAAACTAGCCTATTACATTCATCGTAATGGTTTAAATACAATGACAGGTAATCTTAAAATGGATGGACACGAAATAGTAAATGTTGGCGATCCCACCACCGATCAGTCTGCTGTTAAAAAGTCATGGTTTAAATCAAATGATGACACATACCTAAGGTTGGACGGAGTCGGAACCGGGAAAGTCAAAGGTACTGTCCACTTTAAAAGCGCACCGTTATGTGATAACGATTCTAGAAGCCCCCTTTCCCTCATAAGATTCGACTACCTAAATAGAATACTCGGAAACTACCTACTCATCAGCGGATTTACGGAAATGAATGGTGACCTTAAAATGGGTGGAAATGAGATTAAAAATGTTGGAGCTCCCAGTGCTGACGCATCTGCTGTTAACAAAAAGTGGGTAGAAGATAAAATTAGCGGTGGTAGGAAAAGGCGAGAAACCTACAGTGGATTGACCCTATCTGACGACCTTGATATGGGCAACAATGAAATATTAAAGTTAGGTGCTCCCACAACTGATAATTCTGCTGTGTCTAAAAAATGGGTCACGGACCACGTTAGTGGAAGTTCTATTAGCAGTAGCGGGTTTACTATGACAGGTAATATTAACATGGGCGGCTATAGTATTACGGGCCTCAGAGGTGGATCGGTTGGGGATACCGGCGCACTTTCCGCTAAGAGTATATACTCCTGGTGTCTACAGTTCCTGAAACGTAATGGCGGTACCCTAGCAAGCAATCTTGATGTTAACGACTACGAGTTAACTAGGGTAGGTGATCTTACTACGGATGGTTCCGCCGTAAATAAGAAATGGGCAACTGATGAGTTCATGAGTAGTAGAGGTGGACTGGTAAAGGGTGATTTGGATATGGGAGATTCAAGTGGTATTCTTGATCTAAAGGATCCGGTAAATGATAAGGATGCAGTTAACAAGCAATGGGTGGAAAATAATTTCCTGAAATCTTTCTCAGGCCTTGTCCAGGCAACAGCTGATGTTAGATATGTAAGGAAAATTCACCATATCTACTCGCAGTGGATCTGGGGATATCGTGGCGTATCAGTTGCAGCAACAAGGTACTATGCTTACTGTCAAGATCAAATTCCACCTTCATGGAGAACAGATACTATTAATAATATGACAGACCTCAACCTTGAGTCAATTACTATTAAATCAGATTACCCACTTCTTTCAACTGTTACTAACATACCCCTAGGACTCATCCTGTGGGCTACTGTATGGGAAAAGCAGTCTAATGGGAGATTTACACTAGTTAAAAAGGAAATCGTCCTCAGCACAATCGACTTAAGGAGGCTATCACACACTTACTTCAATGGAACTTACACAAGTAATGGTGGAAGTACAGCTTGCTATGTCTTCAAGGGTAATAGTATGTTCTATTTATGAAACCAGGCTGAGTTGGTAGATAACATGCTAGCCTGGTGTATTATAGTTAAACCGGAACACTCAATGCCAACTGGTTCGAGTATGCTGGTCATTGCTGTATTCAGGGTCAGTTTTTGCTGGTCATTGCTGTATTCAGGGTCAGGTGGATAACATGTGTTGTATCATAAAGTATCATGTCAGAGTGGCGTTCATGCTTCTCATGTATGGGTAAAATCTGTGGCTGTCGTAAAAGGTCTAATAAAAATGGGAAGGTTGGTGATATAAATTTCTCTGTATCCAATGATATTAAGGTTGAAGTGACCACACAGGGTGAAAAGGATAATGCCAACAGTGCATCCGGACTACAAGGGCCCCCTGCCTTGTGTACCCCCAAGGAGAAAATAAAAGTTGCCGAAGAGGCTTTAGAATAGTAAAATTGGACGATATTGGAGAAATCTAGAGGTTTGAGGGTTTGGGAATCCCTGGTATTTCGATAGAAGAGAACGGTGAATAGTTGGAATCTGAGTGTGACAACTAAAATAGGTATTGTGGAGGATGTAGGAAGTATTAATCAGTGCTCAGAATTAGTATCTGACGGTTCTGTGGAGGGGGGTGTGTGTTACCTCAAGGGTATTTTAAAAGTTGTCGAAAAGGCTTTGGAATAGGAAAACTGGACGGTATCGGAAAAGCCTAGAATCATACTAAAGCCTCAGCTGGACTGATAAGGTGATCCCGAAGCTTTGAGATAAGTTAAATGAAAAACATTTCGGACAGACCTCAGAATAGTAGTTTCACATTCCAAAATAAATGGACCGTGGTTCGGGAACCCACTCATTGAGGAGCGGGACCATTAATTTTAATATAACAAAAATAAATTATTAATATAATAAAAATAAATGATTAATTTTAATATAATAAAAATAAATTATTAATTTTGCCAAAGGTAAAAAAATCAGTGGTCTCGCTCCGAAACTAGTGGTCTTGATACGGCAGTTCCTATACTACTGTAGGCTATTTTATTTAGTAGAATCTCAGGGGGAAAAATCATATACAACATTCGCTGGATTAATAGCTGGCACCAGGCATGAAAAGAAGAAATTCGTTCATGTCATTACCATCACAAAAAATTACATCGTTCCCAACTTGGCCTTGTAACTCAGAAGGTAGAGCGTCGTTCTAGAAATGCGAAGGAAATACGTATGCATGCATACATATACTTTATTGAAATGCTCCCAATCGGTTTTTCAACATACAATTATAAATATGAAAAATTTAAAGTTAAAACTATGTCACATTATTATGTTACAACTAATGTCATGAATTAGAATAAAAAGTATCCAAAAAATGTGTTTTAATTTTGTTTTTGTAATTAAATTTTGTTGCTCTGCATGTGTGATGAAATGTTCTCTGTCCTGACGCAGTTCCATGGAAAGGAATGTGTAATGTGTCTAAAGACGCGCGGATTGGGTGATCATGTAGCTCGAGGCGTTTCTTGAACTTGTTACATACAGATAGCTATAGGTGCAAGATTGTTTTTGCAATTGTATAATGGCACATTTAGCATTATATAATACTTCACGTTCGTTTCCATTTCACATGAAATCAAACGAAAACACACCAATATTTTATTTTAACTGAGGAACACAACGATAGTATTTACACACAAATTATTTGCCAAAACTACAGGTACAATTTTTAAATACTGACATATTTAATTTACCAAAAATTAAAGGTACAATTGTTGAACACTGATCCCGACATCATAACATTTGCTCGCCTACTCATTGTATTCTGAAATCAATATTCAACACTGTTAAAAGGTGATTTATTAGGACCTTTACATTTTTCACCAACTGCCTCCACAATGCAGGAAATGCCGTTTTAGGTATCCAAAATTCAATTCTTTCTCCAGGTGAGCATGCCCCTGCGCGACCAAGAATTGTGACTCACAAATTATTAAGTTGCCCCCAAAATAAATTCCTGGCGGCACCACTGACAAGCAATAGGAACCTGGAGTAGGGTAATTAAAACAACTTGTTGTGGGTCATGATGATCCCTGCATGATATCTACATCATCAAATACGGGAATTCTATTGATGTCGTTTTTGAAATTGCAAGCTTATCCTATAGGTTGATATAACGTCGTACATGCACCCGGCCCAGTCGCCATTTCAGATTTTCAGTAAAAAATACTCGGAATGCTCCTTAACGACAATACCAGAGCAATAGCATACGAAATATTGGCACACAGTGGAAATGAGAATATTAATTCTGCCTATTCTTATTTCTCATCATCTCTCATTCTCATCAACTCTCATTCTGGTCAACTCTCATTCTCATCATCTCTCATTCCCATCATCTCTCATTCTCATCAACTCTCATTCTCATCAACTCCCATCATCTCTCATTCTCATCACTCTCTTCTCATCACTCTCATTCTCATCATCATCACTTCATTTATCACCTCATTCTCATCATCTCATTCTATCAACTTCATCTCATCATCTCTCATTCTCATCACTCTCATTCCATCATCTTCATTCTCATCACTCTCATTCTCATCATCTCATTCTCATCACTCTCATCTCATCACTCTCATTCCATCATCTCTATTCTCATCACTCTCATTCTCATCACTCTCATTCTCACATCTCTCATTCTCATCAACTCTCATTCTCATCAACTCTCATTCTCATCAACTCTCATTCTCATCATCTCTCATTCTCATCATCTCCATTCTCATCATCTCTCATTCACATCATCTCTCATTCTCATCATCTCTCATTCTCATCAATTCTCATCATCTCTCATTCTCATCATCTCTCATTCTCATCAACTCTCATTCTCATCATCTCTCATTCTCATCATCTCTCATTCTGATCAACTCTCATTCTCATCATCTCTCATTCTCATCAACTCTCATTCTCATCATCTCTCATTCTCATCATCTCTCATTCTCATCAACTCTCATTCTCATCATCTCTCATTCTCATCAACTCTCATTCTCATCATCTCTCATTCTCATCATCTCTCATTCTCACCAACTCTCATTCTCATCAACTCTCATTCTCATCATCTCTCATTCTGATCAACTCTCATTCTCATCATCTCTCATTCTCATCAACTCTCATTCTCATCAACTCTCATTCTCATCATCTCTCATTCTCATCATCTCTCATTCTCTCGATCAACTCTCATTCTCATCAATTCTCATTCTCATCAACTCTCCTAGCTTGTTTGACCGGGGCTTCATTGATGGAATTCGAAACAATTTCGAGTTAGTAAAATTGCATTGTAAAATGAGGAAGAAATTTTCAAATTTTGTATTAATTTGTATTACGCGCGGGAAAATGCACCACTTTCGGCCCAAATGTGGTGCACTTTCCCGCGCGCTATACAGGTTAAATAGAAGGTGTTTATAGTATACAGGATCCTCATTTCTGGACGTTATGTAGGTAAGTGCCTCATGTTTCTCCGTATCGTAACGTACCGTAGCATTTTCTTTTTGTCGAAGTGTGATCATGGACTTTTCTTTCATTTAGAATTCTATTTTCTTAAACGAAAGTGCTCGTAAAACTGTATAATAACTTGTTTTGAAGATTTTTGACCCATGCTTAGTTATCAAAAGTTGTGTTTTGAAGACTTTAACTCACGGCAAAACGAAATTAACTCAGGGGACTGAAATAAAAAGTCACGGCAAAATAAAGTTAGTTTATTATTAATAACTCGTGGTTGGAGACCGTCAGTGTACTTCCGCAAATAGAGTATGACTCATCACACTTGTGGGCATGCTGCATCTATGCATGATAACAATCAGGGATCTATTTATGTAGTTTGAGTTCTGGCATTTCTTCCAACATTTTCCAAAATTACCTTAGATGATGAGTTAGATCTCATTCTTCTTTCTCCTCCATTCCTCTTGAAGGATGTTTTGTAACTTGACAAGAGCGAAGGGAAATCTAGTATTAACTTCTGTAATTTTCCGACGAAGTTAGTAGTCCGGCTACTAGCCTCCCGACGAAGTTTACTAGCCTTCCGACGAAGTTAATAGTTAGGATACTAGCCTTCCGACGAAGTTAATCGTTAGGATACTAGAAGATACTACCCTCCCGACGAAGTTAATAGTTAGGATACTACCTCCCGACGAAGTTGATAAAAACACGCGGCGTTAATAGTTAGGATTTCTTCAAATAACTTTGTCATTTCAGTTAAAGTTATTTCCAAGTGATTCAACATATAGGGATAAGCAAATATTCCTGTGTAAGCCCAATGTCCTCCATCAAGCATAAGTTTGTGTGCTTGTGTCTCATCACATAAATATTTCCCACTTAATGGGCTTGACTGACTACATCTCGTACAGACTTGAGAAGTGATTTTGTAGGAACATGACATTGGGCATAGTACCTACGGAAACATTTTTACTGAGTTTAGCTCGGAGGAAAAAGTCCTGAACAATCAGCGTATTATGAATGCTTGAATCAAATCCATTAATTTTATCACCTGCGACTTTTATTGATATTTTTTCAATACGCCCTCTTTGAGATAATTGAATATCCGGTAAATAGTAGCCAATCAAAGTAAGTTTTGTTAATTAGATTACCAGAGGTTATTAACAACAACAAACAGTTTCTCGCGCAATTTTACCTGCATCTTTCACTAGGATTCCAAGGTCTAAACTTTAATCTAAATAATGCATGTTCGTTTTTTTTTCTAAAAATGTCCTAATATTTAAAACATAGTCCCGTTTGTATATTGCTGTCTTGTTCGTATATTGCCGTTTTAAATTATGCTACTATACTACAGACACGTAAAATGTTATTCTTTACGTTAAAGGCACAGTTCAGCCTGTTGAACGATGATTTTTAAGGCGCATTTCAGCTCTTTTAATTGAAAAAACTAACTAGGAAAATCAATTAAACATAATTCAAGATCACCAAACTCAATTTTTTACCTATTGCTCAATAATACAATTAACTCAATAGACAATTTGAAAACTTTTGGAACATGCAGAAATAATGATCTCTATGGAATGTATGAAAGTATATTGTTTTTCGTAGAATATTATATATTGATATAAGTCTATATAAATGACGAACCTCGAAAATTTCCATAAGTCTTAGATCTGATGCTTTCGAGAAATACTTCTTTTCATTTGTGAAAAACATAATGGTGGTCAATTCTTCGAAAACTAAGATTAGCCATGGATAATTTCTTACTTGTATCTTGCCACATATTCTAAGAAAACGATTTGTCTATCAGCGGTGTATATCAATAGATATCTGTACTCGTTCATCCATCAAGAAGAAAATCGCAACAAAAATTGCAAATGTAAACGGACCTTAATACTTCCTCTGTGATGCTTCGCACGTTCGTATTCAAAATTTAATTTTTTGCTTAGGACCTTCATGACTACCCTATTGGTGACGACAGTCATCTTCGTGTGTCATTTTCCAAGAAGACACTCAAAATAACTTCATTGCGTAATAGAACTGCAACTACTGGTAATATCCAATCCTGAATTAACGCAACCCGAGAAAAAAACCATCAGCAAAACAACAGTAAGAATTTGGAAAGGAAGAGATGCACTTTCTGAACCGTTGCTATATCCTAAAAATAAGCGCAAAAGATTGTTGTTGGCAAAGAAATTCAAGAACTACAGTAAAACTGCAACTCTTCCTTTCAGACCACTTGCAGCCTATCTCCTTACTGTTGTTTTGCTGATTGTTTTTTCTCGGGTTGAGTTTATCTTTTGACACTCCTATCGCAGCAATTTGTCGCTGTGAGTAACAACTCTTAGAGCAATAATCCGTCCTCTAACTCCTTCATTGGAGACCTTACATTTATTAAAGTTCTCTGATTGGTTATGGATGTTTTATTATTATACGTCATAGGGGCCCCGTGAGAAACTTTTGCCTCGTACCCCGTACAACCTCTCGGAGGTCCTGCAGATTAAATTTAGTGCTCAGCTTGCAGGACACGGCATTTCAGGGGGAGTCCCGGAATCACATGTTGTGCTATCCTTCAGGTTTTCGTAGATATTTCTCGTCCCTGCATATCGAATCCCGCCAGTTCTCGCCCTTGCATGCATCCAATTTTACGTTATAAAAATAAGACGCCCACTCGGCGTTAACCTCGGGTCGGTGGATAGGGCATCATCGCGGTCTGGTAAATATGCAAAAATCGTGTAAATCACGATAGTTTAATAGCTCACTAGTATAAATGGTGCATCAGTGAATCAAAGCTCCGTTTTAACATTTTATTGATAATAGTTAACAGGAACAATTTAGAGAATTTACTGACGCAATTATTTAACTTATTATTCATTATTTGGGTTCAGATATTTTTAAAATATATCAAAGTACCGAAAATATAATTAGGTGCATATAACTGATCCATCATTAGTAATAGTTGTACCACAATCAAAGAATGTAATGAGTATGGACAGTTGGCAAAATTGTTGTCTACCAGTTACAGTAAGAACCGTCCATAAAATGCTTAGCAGTATCTCGAGCAGTATCAAACAAGTGAAAGTTGGCCGCGGTATTCCCATGCTATGCATACGAAGTATTGTACATTTAATACAGTAGCTTCCAACGTGTCAACTGACCACTCAAGGGATTGTCATGAAAACATTTTAATATTTCGAAACGTAATGTAGTAGAACAACCAATCACCTTTAATTCCCCTTTTAAGTGAAATTTTGATCTAGACTAGCCTGGACAAAAATTTCATCACAGCTTAAGAGCATCACAAAATTAGTAATAATTACAAAAAAATAATCAGTTCTGATTATCAATTTCCCGTTTGTAATACAAAATGACTGTATATATATTTGATACACTAATTTCTTGTTGGAAAACTCCTCAAAATGCTGGAAATAGCTTATCTGAGCTTCAAAAAATCCAAAATTTTCTGGGGGGGCATGCCCAACCCCTCTAGAGGCTCGCACCTTCGGTGGTCGACTCAGTTGTTGCTGCCCTATGACGTATACTTATTAGTTAAACCATGCATATATATGCTGTAGGTAGCTGCAGTGATACAGACAGGGCTGTAGCAAGGGGGTATTGGGGGTGGTTAATCGGTTGGCCATTGGAAATTACGGCAATTATTTAATAGTAGAACAAAATTTTAGTTGTTAAACAGAGAAAATATAAAATTGTATTGTCACTATAAATTGTAAGCAAATTGTAAATTTCGTCATACTAAAACGCTTTTTCTGACCATCAGCATTCTGTCAAAACTTCCCCAAAGTCCAGGAAATGGCATTTCAGAGACTCGAAATTTAAAAATTTCTCGGGCCTCCGGCCCTCGTTTTCTGCCCCAATAAACCGCACTGCTCGTATAGTATGTTTATGTAGATACCACAACTTGGCAGTCACTTAGGGAGCCAGCTTGATAAACTTAGAGTTCCCGACTCCCACGAAGCGCCACCATCGTTGGCACAGAGTGGAAAAATTTTGAAAATTTTGCGTCTCTAGTTTGTTCTGTTAGTGAAGGCCAGTCCCAGTTTTTCACGCATGCGAAGAGCGCTCGCAGTCAATCACAGTGAGTTCCATATATATATATGGTTAAGAGTTTCTTTTTGTACCATTTTTTCCCAGCTTTTTTCTAACGGGATCATATGAACAGGCCCAAAATAAGTTTACCCAACCCATGTGTTACTGTACTTCATAATAATTAAACACATAAGATTATGGTGACAGAAATCAAGTTGCCTAAATTCTAAAAGCTCACTCACTCTCAAACTCACTGGTACAGAATGTATTGTACACATTTTTCTTCATATTTTCCAATGCATGGTAATTTTGGTTAAATTTTATAGCTGACAAACAGGCACAATTTTTTTACCCAACCCATAAGCTAGTCAAAAACTTGATTAAGCTAAAAACCACAGTTTTGAACGGCAGAAAGCCCAGAACCACAACTTTTAACAAATATAAAAATTTTCCGTGTTATGCAGTTATATCAACACGAGTGGAAATTGGAAAAACGAGAAATTGTTTTCACACAATTTCGAGTGTTGATATAACTGTATATCAATACGGAAAAAATGTTTTATATTTGTTTTATAATATAGCACAAAGAAACATAAAGAAAGAAATTTTCCGACGTTTCCGTTTGACAGTTGTTATTATTAATATGCCTATGGAGTACCAATATTATATGAAACTTTAATTGTAACTGTAACTGTAAGTGCAGCTGTAATTGTCATTTATTAATCGAAACTCATTAAGAGGAAATTTTTTTGTATGTTATGTAACACACGCTAAACGTATAATGTGACTAAATTCAGAATTGTTTCTCATCAAACAAACTTAAAAAGTACTATCTGTAAAATAATGCTAAAATGAAGAGATTTTAGATGATACGCCAAAGAGAAAATTATGTCTGAAACTACGAAAAATTGAGATATTCATCCTATTTTCATACTATACCATATCCATACTATGGAAATATACAATTATTATGGATAAGAAAAATCCATTCTATTTCCAATAAGGTCCATACAATTTCCATTCTATGACCTTCTATGGATTTTCAAAGTTTTTTCCATTGTATACATCTAACATAGCTTGATTATATAACCTGTCGCCTCGTTGAATGGAACATTCCATCTTTCACCTCGTGAAAATATTCTTACCATTGCACAACATTCATTATTTGTATATTGTTCAACTATTATCTCCTTCACAGTCAGTCATATTCAACTACCTGAGAAATATAAGCAGAACTTCGACGTTTAATCGAGCGAATATTGAATACTGGGTTTTGAAATAGTGTGAATCATGAATAGTGTATTTGTAAAGCCGGATATAACGGAGTGAAGTGTGAAAACGGTATGTAAGATGATGTCCTGAGTATATTGTGGAATTGACTTATTTTTAAACCTTTTTGTTCGCATGTCTTTTCGACATTTTCTATAGACATTAACGATTGTGCAAAGAGACCATGTAAAAATGGTGGAAGATGTGTTGATAAAGTGAATTCTTATCAGTGTATTTGTAAAGTTGGATATAATGGAGTAAACTGTGAGAACGGTATGTAAGACAATGCACTGAGTATATTGTGGAATTGATTTATTTTTAAACCTTTTTGTTCGCATGTCTTTTCGACATTTTCTATAGACATTAACGATTGTGCAAAGAGACCATGTAACTTTTCGACCTTTTTATATACATTAACGATTGTGCAAAGAGACCATGTAAAAATGGTGGAAGATATGAATAACTATTGTGGGAAATCAGTCCAAGCTGATTTATTCAAAGAAAAGCAATTAGCCCAAAAGCAAAACAGTATTTAGCAAAATTCGTATCTTAAAATGAATGTCTGTACCAAGGAAATATTGCCAACCTTCCAGATGATCTTGATACGCGGAAAAGTACTGGCACTAGTTGTCAAATAGAAATCCATTTTATGATTAAAACAACTGAATATCTCCTGTAATATACTTTATTTCGATTCTATATTTTTGTCAGAGCTATAGTTCTCATAAGTAAACATAATTACAAAATTTCAACTAGTTTCATAAAGAATAACGAAAGATATAATTGACTGAATACATCAACATGAATTTCTATTCGCACAACCCTTTCTGAGCGCTGATTGGCTAAAATACGAACACGAGATCACCTGGTTCTATAATTCGAGTATTTCTTGGAAATGTGGTGGAACAAATTGACAGATTATAGGTACTCTAGTATGCAGTTGCAGTTGATGTAGCGCTATAGAAAGCTTGACATGACATATTTCTAGTTTGAAAATTCTTTTTTCTATGTTGGTGTTGTGTCCTCAGGTGAATATGATGTTTGCGATGTTACTCTGAGTGTATATCCACACCGAGCGAGCTTGAAAAATATGCCCGGCCACGGTGGGAATCGAACCTACGACCTTTGGAATACTAGTTGTGCAAAGAGACCCGCCGGCAGCAAAAACCTTTTCGTCAATTTTTCTGCGTTTCCTAGGATACGAGGCCCCGATTGCGATTTTGAATAAGGTCTATTCATTGGAAGAATTTTTGCATGCTCGACCTCATTCAATAATAAATTTTATTGTCAGGGCCGTAGCAACCGGGGGGGCTGGGGGGCTGCAGCCCCCCCAATAATTTGCTAACAATCATTCTTTTTTCAAAATCATGCAAACTTTATCATTTAATCCCGTAACGTTCGTTTTTCCAAATATGGAATGTATATCCTTATATGGTGTTGTTTACAACTTTCGTGCAAACTAAATTTAGACCGTGCAAACTAAATTTAGACCGTACAGTTTATACTGTTTTTCGAAATATAAGATATTGAAGCAAAAGTTCAAATGTTTTAAATAAGATAATTGAATACGGGATTGAAAAGTGAGATAGCTACGTATACGTTTGAGCAGGTAAAGTCTAGAATTGATTATATTGTCGATGGTATTAATTTGCTTATCCCATTTCAGATGTTGGTCTAATGTAACTCCAAGTAAAATCGCGGATGTAATCTCCTTAACTAATTTGTTATTGACTTCAATTAGTTCACTAGCACCCTGTCACACTATTGCGTATCGTACTAGCGTATGCCAGCGTATGAAAAATATCACTCATACGCCGGTATACGCTGACATACGCTAGGGGTACGTTATAGCATAGGTTGTATACGTTTCAAGCACGGTCGCATACGGTGGCATACGCTGGCATACGGCGAGGCAGAAATTTTTTTGTAAGCATGTTCAAAAATTTTGTGCGCATCGGACGTATGCTTTATACGATAAGCATACTCTAGGCACACGCTGAATACGTTAGAGGTACGCCAGATGTACGGTACTCATACGCTGGCATTTCAAAGGATTTTTGTGCGTATGAAAATTATTTCATTAATCTACACAACCTTTGCCTAAAACTGTCGCATGCACCTGCTTATACAACTTGAGTTGTACTATGAATCAAGCACACAACTCACCATATAGTCTACCAAGATATGATGGTCTGAAACTAAACGTGCATGGTCACGGTGATTGAACTCATTGTATTTTCATATAATTATTTCCTTTCACTGACAAAACCAGACTACAGGGTGTATCAAAATAAACGCAATCTTCATTCTCA